AAAGACAGCAGGCAAGAGGAATTCCTGGAGGCTGCAAGAGAAAGACCAGCTGTTGCTGCTGCTTCCTTCCACCGTGCTCTGTGGTTATGCTGGGCGTGGCACGGTGGTGGCACAGTGAACTAGACTAGAGAATTTCAGCAGTGCAGACATCGTTAGGCAGGGAAAGCAACACAAGCCAAACAGAGGGAATGGCTACAACACAGAGGGCTAGACTAGCAGGAGGACAGCAAGGCCAGATCACACCAGACCTTCATGGCCAAGGCAGCTATTTGGGGTGATGGAAAATACACAGTGCCTGCTCAGAAAAACAGAGCCCAAGGACCAAAGCAGTCAGTCCTCCAGTTCTGGGAGCACCTGACAGGAGGGTATGGAATAAGTGATCCACTGGATGGCTACTGAGGTTCCAGGAACAAGGCAGTGGAAGCCAAGGTGACATGGGTCCCAGTGCATTCTGAAACATTCTAGAAGCAAATGCTACTCACAGTCAAGCTGAGCCGAAGTGACAGCCCACACCTCTGAGGGAGGGGATGGCAATAACTTCTGATCCTGCATTACTCATGCACAGACCAACCTCCCGAAAAATACCTACAGACAAGGACTGGTGACTGCTGCAGAAAGATTCAAAACAGGCATAGATTTAGAAAAGGAAAAGTTTGAACCCCAAGTCAAAAGTTTTTCTAACCTCATCTTCCTCTCCAATTCACTGACTGGGAAGACACCTGCCTGGCTACCTTCAAAGGGAAGAGATCATCAAATTTATCAATGATAAACTGGCCTGTTGAGAAAAAGCTTCAGAAGGTGTTAAGCAGCAAAACACAGGACAGAGACCTTCTCCCCTGTGTCCTTCAATCTTCACTCCCCTCAATCCCAAGCACTTACACAGTATTTTAATATGTGGTAGATCTCATGGAAGCATGAGAGAAAAAATAATTTTGATGAAGAAAACAAGTAACAAAGCTCCCCGCAGGAAGTACTAACAGCTGAGCCCTTAAGGGTACTAAAGACCATTCCTGAGAGAGCCAGCAAAAGTATCAGTGAAGACTGGATGACAGTGGCTCACGCCTGTAATCCTACCTACTTAAGAGGCAGAGATCAGGAGGATCGTGGTTCAAAGGCAGCCAGGACAAAACAGTTCTTGAGACCCTATCTCAAAAAACCCACCACAAAAAAGGGCTGGTGGAGCAGCTCATGGTAGAGGCCCTGAGCTCAAGCCCCAGTACTACAAAAAAAAAAAAAAAATCAGTGAAGGCAGTTCAGGAGAAAAATAAACAGCCTTAGGTCACATTTGGGGACCGAGGGGATTTGCACTCAGCAAGGGGGAAGACATCATGGTTTCCAAAAATGAGACTGACAGCCAGAGCTAACCCAAGGAAGACCCACTGAGGTAGCAGTGTGAAGAGCAGACCATGGGCTATTTCAATCAGCCAAAGACAAGAAAAACAAAAGACAGGGAATGACACCTGAAAGTCATACATACACATGCAGATAAGGTTCAGACTGGTGGCTTGGGTTTTTTTGTTGTTTCCTCCTTCCAATGTTATTTTATACTATATACACCTGTACTTTAAGAGGAAATAGGAGTATTTTTGTGTTAGGGTTTTGTTGTTTTTTGCTGTACTGGGGATTGAACCCAGGGCCTACAGTATGTGTGCTCTACCACTTGAACCAGACACCCCACACACACACATACACATCAAGCCATTTGTATTTTGTTTTTGATAGGATCTGGCTAACTTTGCCTAGGACGGTCTTGAGTTTTCCACACTCCTGCCTCCACTGAGTACCTGGAATTAAAGACATCCACCACCATGCCCAGCTGAGAATCTTATTTTTGACATAGGTCAGAATAACTTTCCCAACCCGCCACTTTTCTCTTTTTTCCTTGAGAGCTGGAGAACCCAGAGTCTCTCATTCATGTTAGGCAAATGCTCTACCATGGAGTTACATTTTAAAGATGTATTTGAAGAACGATTTGCCATGTCAGCCTAGAAAGCTCATTCTGAAGTTCTAATTCATCTTCATCTACAAAACAAACTTTAAAAATGTGATACGTAGAGCTGTAATCCCTATTCTTGCCTTCTACGACCAAAATAATTTAGTCTGAGATAAAATACTTGTACTGTGGGCAGCCACAAAATTGAGACAAATCACGCCACAGAGAAAAAAGGCCTCCTGTCCCTCAAAAGAACTGTCTTTTCTTATAGAGGAGAAACCTGGGTGGGAAGAAACCAATCAAGATCTATAGCGCCTGGCTCCAGGGTATAAAGCAACCTGCATTCCTCTGAACTCTGTACCTGCAAAACCCAACATTCACTCACAGCTACTTCCAAGGAGCCCCTCCCCCTCCACACACACACACACACACACACACACACACACACACACACACACACACACACACACACACACACACACACACTCCACTGCAGAGTGTAAACGTGTGTGGTGGCCATGTGCCTAAGTCAGTTCTTAAACCAACACCAGGGTTCTCAGCAGTACTCATCTAGTCCTGGCTCTGACAGTAATGCATGATTTGAATACATTATTAACACACACCTCATTTTTCTCATCTATAAGTGATGACACTGCATATGCAAAAGCCCCTGGGTTAGATCCCCAGCACCAAGAGGAATTTTAAAAAACCTGAGAAGGTTGGACTCCAGAGGCTCTGAGGTTTCTTCTATCTTTAAAAGTGTCACTTTTTGATGGTGCTCCAAACCTTTTTCTGTTCTCTCAAATTCCTTTAAACCAGCACATGGAACATCAACCAACATAGCTTCCAACCCCAACTGCACATCTGAGGCACGCCGATTTTACACCACCAAAGCAGATCCACTCTGTTGATGCCAACCATCAAAAAAGGAAAAAAACTGACAATTACTTGTTGGAAAGGCAGTAAGGGCAGGAATAATAAAAATAAACACGTACTTACAGTAACTGACTACATCTGGGATTTTAGATGTCCGATGCTTTCAAACTTTTTTCTTTTTTTTTAAAGACAGGATCTCCTACATAGTCCAGGCTAGTCTGGAACTTGCTATTGGGCCTGGAATTTGTGATCCTCTGGACTCAGTACTGGGATTACAAAGTGTGCACTACCATGCATGGCTGGACTTTTTTTTTTTTCCCCTGTCTTTTTTCCTTTTGGACTTTTTTTTAAATAACGAAAAAAGTATGTTACATTCACAAATGATGACAAACTATCATATGCCCAAAATGTACATGCTTTGAAATTTGCATGCAAAATGACCCTTCCTTTATTGGGAGTTTCCTACTCTTCCTCCTTGATGAGAAATCGAGAATTAACTACCTCCATAATGGCTCACTTCATCTCCCAGTCCACATGTTACTTTCAAAATACTTAAAACGTATACTTATTATCAACTGAGAACAGGAGATGAATAAGAAACACAGGAGTAAGAATGGAGTTACTTCACCTTTTAAGAGTCTCAATTTTCACCTTTCTGGTGACTAAATTATTTAGGTTATTACCCAGTTCATTTTGTTTCTAAATGCTCCACTCATCTGCAAGTTTAAGTCTGTTTCTCCCCACTAGAATGACTGGACTTCGGGTTAATATGTGGCCCCAAGTATATGGCAGGCCTCGTGCAGGTAATACAGCCACGAACAAAGCAAAGTTCTACGTAGTAGGGCTATGCTATGGAAACAGGAGGACAGGAGTAATTCTAAAGGAACGGGTATGGCTTCCTGAAAGGCCTGGCATCTAGTAATTGCTGTGAATTACTAGAAATACTAGCAAAGAGCACATTTTTAAAACTTACAAATAAAAATCCTTCAACCAAGGAACATACCGAACATAAAGTTCAAGACCTAAAGCACACACTTAACCATGGCAGCCAGGAACAAGGTTATCTTAATCAATAAGAGAGTTTCCCAGGGCCAACCGCCGCGTACGGGGCCCCTGTGCCAAACTCGTCCAGACCTGGAGGGAAAAACGTAAAAGCAAAATGGAGGAGGGGCCACGGAGGAGTCGGCCTGGGAGCGAAAACCTCGTGGCTAGCTTCTGATGGCGCCAAGCAGCCTTCCTGCTCCGCGCTCCCCGGCCCCGGGAGGCATCATCAGCCTCGCTAAGCCAGCGGCACGCAGCAAAGTTAACGCCACGGGACACAAGTAGCCACATCTTAAGGGGGTTAGGGGAGCAAAGAAAGAACCATCGGGCAGGGCTCCACCCTTCACCTGCAGAACACCCAAGGTTAGGGTAGGACGTCCCTCCTAGCCTTGCAGATAAGACAAAGCGGGCTTCTGGGGGCGTCCGGTATGGTCACCTCTTTCCTTTGGTCCAAGGCGCGTACCAGCCGGACGGCGAAGAGCGCGGAGCCACTTTTAACTTTCTTATAAAAGCCGACCACATTTCCTGTTTTAACCATAAAAGATCGAAGCCCCCTACTACCGTTTCACGGATGTCACCGCACCTAAGAGGTCTGGCTTTTACCGGGAACGCTCTGCAATTCCCAGGTGGGCTCCCCTTCCCGGGACGCCGCCTCGCGCGTTCCCGCCACGCTCGCAGCCCTCGGGATCCGGCGTCTCGGCTCGCTCCGCCCTTGGCAGCCGGGCTGCGCCGCGGGACGCGCACGTCTGGACCAGGCCGGGGGGTAAGGGGCGCATCCGGACTTGGGGAACGTGCTGGAAGCCCTCTCCCCAACACTGGACTTACAAAACAATAAGCATCCGCTTTTTCTGCCCATCCCCCATAGGACCCTGGCCACGAGTTACCACCGCCGCGAGGGAAGAAAAGGCCAGGAAGCGCGCCAGCCCTGCGGTCGTGGCCCAGCACCCCTAGACCCTCGATAGCCCAAGCCTCCCCCGCTGCATCCCCACCGCGGCGCCCCGAGCCAGCGCGGGGCAGAGGGCGCTGGAGCGCGGCCGTAAGCGAAGGCGCGCCAGCCACGCGGTGGCTGCGGCGAGTGTCACGGCCCGCGGCCACATGCGCCAGCCGCCGCCAAGGCCCGGGACGGGAGAGGAGCGCAGTTCCGCAATACCTTGCCGCTGGCCGTGCCCCCGCTGACCCCGATCAGGAAGGGCTCGCCGCCGTTGGGCTGCTGGTGGTTCTGCAGGGTCTGCTCGCTGTCCCCGGCCATGGCGCGCGCCGCCCCTCCTCTCGCTGCCTGTGCGCACGGACGCACGCTCCCCGCCCGCGCCCGCGTCGGGCTCTCTCCGCTTCCCGCAGCCGCCGCTGGGCGCTGCCGAGGTCGAAGCTGCAGTCGCCGCTCGCCCGCCTGCCAGCCGCTGGGAGCTAGGGGTGGGCTGACTTTGCCCAAGGAGCCGACAGCCTTCCTCTGCCCGCTGCGGCCGGCGGGGTTTACATCCCAGGCAGAGGTCAGCGTGATGCTGCTGCTCCAATCCGGGCGGGCAGCGCGCTGCTATTCGCCAAGAGCCGGGCCCCAGCCTTCGCCCCGCCCGGGCCCCGCCGCCGCCCGAGGTCTCTGGGAAAGGTGTGAGCAAGAATCTGCTCCCACCCGGTTAACCCTTTCCCCGGCGCCCTCCCGCGGACCCCGGGGGCAAAGAATCCGGCTTGTTGAATGTTTTAATCTGGTGTGCTGCCACCTATTTCGGAAAGAATAAAAAGCGAGTCGGGACTAATCAGATCAAATAATGGAGGAAATGCACCAGGTTTAGGAAGCAAAGTTATAACAGGCTGGGAAAAATTAAGATGAAACAAGGCAATGCCATTTACCCATTATCCAGATTAAAACTTGTGTTTTCCGAAAATGAGATTCCCCACCCCGCTCCCTTTGCCAAAATAGAATGTCAGCCGCTGGCTTTAGGTATTTCCTGTCTTGGAAACCCCCAAGTGCCATTCTCTTTAGCAGGCCTGTCCTCCTTCGACTCCCTAGAAAGAGCAGTTTGAGGGCCTAATTTGAAGGTGCCCGCTTGAAAATCAGTGCCCTTGCACATGGTTTCTCAAATCCCCCAAGATGAGGTTGCTGTGGAGTTAGGGATTGTGGGAACATTAAAATGACAATGTCATGCTGATCCATTGATAGGTTTAATTAAACTGGTTTTTTCAGAGATTGACAGTCACTTGGTTAGGAAAGCAGTCCCAAGTGACTAAGCCACTCTGGAGTCAGCTTTCTGCGTTCAACATCCAGGTCCATGAGCAAAAAGTGGGCTGTGCCTAAGTGTTCTCATCTGTTAAGGGCTAATAATAATGTCAGTCACATTCTTGGATTTTGGTGGGTTTTAAATGAATTATGTATGTAAAGTTCTTAGAATAGTGCCTGGCCAGTTTCTTCTCTATATTAGTGTTTGAAGAGAAAAGGCTCCTAAAGGGCTGAACCAGAAAGGGAAGTTTGGCTGGGCACACCTGAGAAAGGTAGAACTAGACTAGTAACTTGAACTTGGACAGGTGTCAATGACTGGATGGGGCCCCACAGTCTAAAACAGAACTTAAGTCAATAGCATTCTCTTTTAAAATATACTAAGTTGCCTAAAAATTGGAAAAGTATTTTGAAAAAAAGATTAAAGAAAGTTAAGAGCATCAGAGAACACATTTTTTTTTTCACTTTTGAAATATTTTATGTCACTGAACACCAAACTGGAGCAGCTCAGATAGGAAACCAAGCAGAGGAGAGGGATTGCCTGCTGTCCAGAGGCAGTTAGTCATTTGGGAGAGGCTGCTGAAAGTCATCTTACAAACCACAGAGGAGTGAGTGGGTTTTAGCTGGGCATGAAGTCTGCCTGTCCCCCACAAAAGTCTTTTCTCCACAAAAAGACTTCAAGGACTTCAATCTCCACCTTCCTGATTATTCCTCTAGCTTTTTTCCACACTTTAGCATGAATATTTTCCAACATAGTTGGAAGGTCTTATAGTAAACAATACATCTTCCACCTAGAGTCTACCATTAATTAGCATTATAGTCAACTTGTTTTATTACATCCCTAGCGATATATCCACCCCTCTATCCATCAAGGCATTTTTATTGTAGTACCTATTTTCCTTTGTTTTGTTAGTTTTAGCTGGTTTACTCCAAATTTATTTAAAAATTTTTGCCTCTGTTTTCTAATGAGCATATCCATATCCCCGACACCTAGAACAGTTTCTAGTATTACTAGGGCTTCACTACATATTTCTTAGATGAATGAAGAGACACCACATCTCATTTCTACATACCCAAGGCCCACTGAGCAGAATGACAAACAAGTAGAAAGAATTCAACATTGATTGTTGAATGAATGAAGGAACAAATGTGGAAAAAGCAAAAAGGAGCCAGCAAATGAACATTTTCATCATTTGGAAAGGAAATGTAGTGTCCCCTGAATTGTAATTATGTGGTTATTACTCATTTCTTTCTGAATGTTTTGTTTTCCTGACTGCTAGAATTTGGATGTGGTTTGTCCCCACCAAAACTCATATTGACATTTAATTCTCAGTGCAACAGTGGTGAGCCACTCGAGTGGTTCAAGTGGTAGAGCGCCTGCCTAGCAAGCATGAAGCCCTGAGTTCAAACCCCACTACCCTCCCCTCAAAAAAAAGTATTCAATGCAGCAGTGTTGAGAAAGTCTTAGGACCTTTAAGAGGGAGGTGATTAAGTCAATGGGGGCATTAATGTAGAGTGTGGGTCCATTGCTCTCTCTTGCTTCCCTTCTCACATGTGTGTTTCTCTGCCACACATTTCTACCCACCACTCCCACTCTCCCACTCTCCCATGTGATGCATCCACCGTGTTGTGATGAAACTCGGAGTGAGGTCCTCACCAGAAGCCCAGCAGATGCTGGCACCCTGCTCCTGGACATTCCTATTTGCCAACTTTTTTTTTTTTTTTTGAAGTACAGGAGATTTAACCCAGAACCTTGCACATCTTAGGCAAGTGCTCCACCACTAAAGCCATGTCCCTAGTTCCTTTTGTTTACATTTTATTTCTAAGACGGGTCTCACTAACTTTGCCCAGACTGCCCTCAAACTTGTGATCTTCCTGCCTCTGCCTCCCAAATGTGCACCAACATGCCTAGCCCCTCCCCCCACCCCCCAGTGCTTTATTTGGCATTCCACAGTAACCCTCTACAACTAGTCCTAGTGTAGCTAGTACCTACTTGACCTTCAACAGAGCTAACTTTACATGTCTCTACACCCTGCCAATATTACTAACAGTATTTCACCTCTGTATATAAGTTAATATGCATTGAAGTGCTCTGAAAAAAAAAAGTCAAAGCTTTCTATATAAAGGTAAGGCCTAATTAGCAGAGAACAGCCAGCTGCACTCTGCACTCCCTGTTCTCACTTTGCTTCTTTCCTTTCCTTTCCCCATCCCTGGGGCTGGCATGCCTACATAGAAAGAAGTTGCCTGTGTCTGTTTCAGTTATTAAGAGTATTCTCAGTGACCTCAACAACGACTTTCGCATCTCTGCTGCCTACAAAGCAAAGCAAGCTGCCTGTGCTATTCCCTATGCTGTGTCATCCTCTCTTGGGAGCCGAGTCACTAAATCCCATAGCTAGGGTTGTTCAAATCACACTGGAGCCTTCTGGAGCAATTACACTGCAGATTCTGAATTAAGTGATTTCCAGCTGTCCTCCTTCCCCTCCCACTAAGAAAAATAATGCGAACATTAAAAAAAAAAAAATCAGACTTAACAGAAAATCCATTTTCTTGGAGTGTATGCTAATTCTTTTTTCTTTATACATATTTCAGTCTGATTAAGTTCTGGCCTAGTTAACATTTGGGGATGAAGTCAGCATGAGCTGGCAGCTGCAGCTGTAGCCAAAGAACAATAAAAGGCCATTGCCGATGACAGTCCTTTGTCTGGCTGCCTTCTCTCCTGTGTAGCCAGAGTCCTGAACTAGACAAGGAGTGTTACATTTTGCACCCAACTGAAATGTTCTATAGCAAGGTACTGCTTGCACAATGATCAAGTCTCTATTTGCCTACTTCATTCCGCCACCAAAAGAAGAGATGTTAGTACACTTCAGCATGTATTCAAAGCATTTCAGCTCTCCTTCCAATGACCCTCCACCCTTTACCAATCAGCAGTTGCTTTGGCAGGCCACAGTACTGGTTTGAAAAGATGACCACGTGATATTAAAGCTGTTTCAACATCTAGCTCTGTCTGTGACCCCAATCAGTCATTTTCTCAGATACCATTAGGCAGCACAACAGCTCAGTGTCAAACCAGCAGCCACCACTGCCTCTGCAGCAGCAGCAGCAGCAGCAGCAGGCAGCAGTGGTGTCGTGGTGGTGGTGTCTGCTGGAAATGCAAATGTTTGGGCTCCATCCCAAAAGTAATGAATCAGGAACTCGGTAGCAGGGCCCAGCAGTCTGTTTTATAAATTTCCAGGGATTCTAGGGCCCACCCAAGTTTAAGAACCATTGATCTAGTGCAAAGACGTGGAAGCTTTTCAAAATCCAAGGTTCATGTCCTTGCTTTGTTACTAACTTTGTAACCTTTGACAAGTTACTTAATGTCCGTAAACCTCAGTTTCTTCAAGTACTAAATGATACCTAGCTGGTAGAATGGTTGGGAAACTAATGAATGCACACGGCACTAGCACATAGAAGTTGTTAAATATCACTTCCCCCCCTTGCTATTTTAGTCATAGCTCTCTGATTTATCTCAGAAGTCTACCATTTGAGCCGGGTGCCAGGGGCTCACTTCTGTAATCCTAGCTACTCAGGAGGCAGAGATTAGAAGGATCACAGTTCGAAGCCAGCCCAGGCAAATAGTTTTTGAGACCCTATCTCAAAAAAATCCAACACAAAAAGAGGGCTGGTGGAGTTCCTCAAGGTGGAGGCCCTGAGAGCAAACTCCAGTACTACAAAAAAAAAAAAAGAAGTCCACCATTTGGGAATTAGGTGATCCAAAATGCCCAAAGGCATTTTGTAATAAAAATTAAAAGATAATATCAACCATAAAGAAATGATAAATTTTGAGGAAATAGTTAACCTAATTTAAACATTACACACATATATATGATCAAATATGACACAGTATCCTACAAATATGTACATTGTACATATGTATCAGTTTAAAAATTTTATTTTTTTTGGGACAAGTCTTCCTAGGTAGCCCAAGCTGGCCTCAAACTCATGATCCTCCTGCCTTAGCCTCCCAAGTGCTGGGATTTCAGCCATGTGCAGTTTACCCACCTAAAATTATTATTTGGTTGGAGGCTGTACTAGGGTTTGAACTTAGGACCTTGCACTTACTACGCAAGTACTCTACCACTTCAGCCATGCCCCAGTCCTAAAATTATTTTTAAAAGTAAAAAATCTTGAAAGATAATGTCCAGAATGGACAACTCTTACAGCCAAATGTAGACTAGTAGTTGCCTACAGTTAGGGAGGTTGGGGAGAAACCAGGGAAAGACTGCTAATGGGTCCAGAATTTCTTTTTAGGGTGAAGA